TTGCCAGCCCGCTCAGAGATGTGTATAAGAGACAGGAGAGAGAGAGAGAGAGAGAGATTAATATCGTCGCGGAAGGAAACATTAATTAATTGTAATAAGACAAAACTGTTTAAGATAGAGATGATAGTATCGCGTGCCGGATCTGCTAAATGGAAAAAAGACTTGGAAAATAAGTGTCATCTGCACCGTACGTTTTTTTTTCATCAAATTGTTCCTGCATAAACGAATGGCAATTCCGGGAACGAACTCGATCCATTAGCAAATTACTCGTACGTAAGAATTAACGAGCAGCTTTAAGAGAACATGTATAGCTGAAGTCTTAAGAGAATATACATATATAGTTTCGTACGTGATTGTTCGTGATTCTTATTAAGAGAAATTGTGAACAAAATATGTACGCTTAATCGACAAGATATATATATCATTTATATAATAATGTTGTTTATTGTTTAGGCTTGCAAAAATAAATAACGAGCAAAGTTGATTTTGCTTGCGATTTTGTTATATATGTAATAGGATTACTTACTTAAATTTGATTCTTACTTCTCGTCTTCTATCAATTAGGTAACTACAAAATTTTCATGCAAAGTTGAAAAATACGAGATTTTTATCACAAATCGATAGAAAGAATCGTCGTTCGGCTTTCGATAAGGAGTATTACAATTGTTTAACAAACGTAGCGAAATACTCGCAACGCAACTTTTATAATTTTTTTTGGCATCATAATATTATAGACACGCATCCCCGCGTGGAAATGTTTGTTAAATTTCACGGCAAGATCTTGGTTATCGACTGCACCGATAACTTGTATTTAACTTGTAAATTTTTTACTGTCGAATAATAAATTAGTAATTTGGTCACTAACGGAAAAACGATCGTGTTTATTATCCTTGGTACAGCCAAAATGATTGGTAATGCCATCGTTATCTTCGCAATTCTTGGCTGCTGCAGTTACGAAAATTACCCATATGTGATACCTCGTCGAAATTATTGGCTACATCGGAAGGTCGATGCTTCCGACGATCGGTAGCACATGAAGATTAAATCGTTGTTACACATATAATTACATAGGTACTTATAAAATTATAGTCGTGAATCCTATTGCAGGTAATTGAGATGGTGAACGACCAACGAAGTACATACCTCGATCGCTTTTTCAAAGCGTGTTGAAACTTACGATATGAAATGTGAAAAAGATTTATCGCGTTTCGCGCGCTATTCTCAAATCCAGACTTGGGCATGTTCATTTACAAAATCCCATTAAAGAAGAAAAATTCTTGTCATTGATCTTTATTCAAGGCTATCTTAAATAGCATGCTTAGTTTTTTCGATATTTACTGCAAGGCTTGAGAATGTACTTTATAGCAGCTCGAATGCTTTGTATAATAACGCTTCAAGTTCAGCGCGCATGCTGTCGCGCGAAACCGCCATCTTTGTCTCTTACGGCGCCGTGCATTGTGTTGCGTCGTGTCGCGTAGCGTCGCGACGCGTAGCGTCGCATCGCGTCGGTTCGGTCGGTTTGTCGTCGCGCGGTGATGTCGCTCGGTGTTCCATACGATTTTTATCCGTTAACACTGACCTGTGCGGACTGTGCGTGCCGAAGTCGCGAAAGTGTCGAGTAAAGAGGTGGGCGATTAAACTTACCGTATATCAATCATTCATTATTGATATCGTAAGTCGCGCGCAACTTGACGATTGTTTTAATACGCTTTGAAGAAACTACGAGGTACTTTGTTGATCGTTTATCAATCATGACTATAAATATAAGTAATAGCATAATCGTCGCGAGATTAATAATAACAATAACAATTATACGCATACATTGTAGAAAACGTATCTATAATTAAAAATATTGTTATTATACAATAACATAACGTTAATCGTGCAAGTAATCGATACGATTAAATGAATATATATTGTTATTTTTAAATATTTGATTTTCAATGTATACAATTGGCTCGTCTGCGTTGTGAAGAAGAAGAACACGATATGCGAAAGTCGCCGCGCATGCAAGAGAGAGAGAGAGAGAGAGAGAGAGAGAGAGAGAGAGAGAGAGAGAGAGAGAGAGAGAGAGAGAGAGAGAGTGTGTGTGTGTGTGTGTGTGTGTGTGTGTGTGCGCGCGCGCGCGCGCGCGCGCGAGTAAGAGTGAATCCGTCATCTCAATTCGCTTCGCGTGCTTCAAGAGTCATCGGAGTTGGAGCAAATTCGTTTTTTATTTGTCAGAAGTAAACGTATCACGACGGCGCGGTAATAGTGATCGTCGACGATTACGATGTGGATTACGTCGCGTCGGGTGAAGCGTCGAGCGATCATCTGTAGAAATTATTATATACACGTTCGTGATTCAATCGCGTATTCGCGTACCACGATAATTGTGTATATCATCTGGCGATTATTTACTTAATTGTCTCGCGTGCACGATACCTAGATATATTGTCAATCGTGTTGCAAATCGAACATTTCTACACTATTACTGAGAACAAATAAACGCGCTTCGCGTTTAAGTCCCTAATCGTGTATGTTCGGTTATTGATATACGTACGTCAATATTAAGTGGAATGCGATTAAACCTAGTTGTTTAACCTAAAAAGACGAATATCCCTTT